AATACTAATACTAATAATACATAATTTTAAAGAGGAAACAAAAAGAAAAAGCGAAGGAAAACAAAATGATACAGTTGCTCACCATCAGCCAACTGACCCTCAGCCAGTCCCTAAGCAGCAATTTCCCTCCCAGCTAATTTCCCCAACTTAAATACCAAGCATAACATTTAATGCCATAGAATGCCCCTTTGGTCAGTTTTGGTCAGCTGTCCTGACCGTGTCCCCTACTAGCTTCTTGTAGAGAAGAAGTTGTGAATGCAGGTGCAGTATGAAAAGTTGAAAAGTCCTTGGCAGGATATAAACATTCCTTAACAACAACTGAATAGCTTCCTACTAGCTACGGTGAGGAAAATTAATTCTATTCCAATTAAAACCATGACACTCCCAACTCCCCCTGCTCACTTCCCCAAACCCATGAACTTGTTCCCATTCCTTTGCCTGCTATAAACCTGTATTCTCTCTGCTTGGCAGCTGAATACAAAGGCCAACCTAACTAGGTGTTGCTAAATGATACCAAAATCAGAAATGAAGAAGTTGATCAAAAACTTAAAGATTGGTATTGACAATCAGTTTTGTGTTTGAAATCTGTAACTATAGAGATTTTGTGTGTTTGTAACGAATGCAACCATAGAAAATTAAGGTAGTATTGTTAGCATCTGTGAAACTAAGGAAATTAGCCATGGAAACCAATAATGCTGCTTGGAAATCTCCTCACCCTAGCCATCTTGATTTGAATATCAAGGATTCCAATCAGTAGATAAGTATAGGTAACCAATGATTGATTTAGAATATGAATACATAAAATAAAGAAACCAATCACTGTAAAGGTTAAATGTAATAGTGAACATAGTATGCATTTTACGTAAAAACCAATGAAAACTAAGTGTGTAAGAAGACAATGAAATGCAATTAGCTGTGAACCAAGCGTAACTGCACCTACGGTTGCATAAGATTCTGCAAGTTGCTAGTACAGCACAAGACCAGAAAAGACCTGTATATGGTAAAAGACCTAGGACTTCACCGAAAGGACAAGAAGACCACTCAGGACCCCTAAAGTAGTCTAATAGACATGCGCAATAGGACGGAGCATATGATAATGATTTCTGAGAATTGTTTTAATATGTATGATCATTCTGTCAAAATATAATGAATATGCATACCTTTGCATAATATAAGCTTTACTTTGGGTACCATGAGGTATGCATGTTAGGAGCAGATATCCCCTGTGCATCCAGCACTGCAATAAAGAATGCCTGCTTTCTGAAACTCTAAACTGAGTTTGGGAAGTTTGCTTCACCAGTTGACAGTAACAGTTTGGGTGATCCAGATGTGACTGCTTCTGAGACTCAGCGGATGCAGGATCAGAAGACCTGCAGCCAACACCAAGAGTTCTTTGGGAGACCTTTGATCTCCGCTCCTTTGGACTCATGAGCCAAAACCTCTGGTAAGATTTTAAGGCATTCTTTTGGAATTTTGGAATTTTTGGATAGCCTGGCCGTAAGGCAAAGCGAAAACTTCACAGGGTTGGGCATAAAGGGGACCCGTTTACGGTAACATAGGGAAGTCAGTTATATCCCCTTGCCCAGTCACAATAAGCATGTGAAACTACGAACTATATGCAAAGTGGCTGGTTGGGGCTGGACATTGACAACATGGGATAAGACTAGTGTGCTGATGGAGGGGGATCTGAAGGTGCAGTATGACAAATTGTGTGAGAAGTCTTTTGAAGGGACCTATCTGCATCAGTCTATGATCTGCGCTGGTCATAAGGATGGCAGAAAATCAGTGTTCCATGTAAATGTTCTGAGGTTGCGACTACCCAGTCAGGTTCGTTCTCATGTGGGGGATGAAGGGGATTAAAATCAACTAGATTCTTCAGGATGATGTTCTGAGGCTCCTCGCAGCAGCTCTGAAGCTGACATGCTGACAGAACCAGTGTGCAGTTGCTCAACTGTCAGCATCATGTGCCTTTATGCCTGGGGATATTCTGTCTGGTCTAGCCACTACTCCAGCAGGCTGCAGATCTCATGTTAAATCCTTTTTCATATCCTTCTGACACAACAGATGGCTCAGATATACCCATATGTCTAAAGTAGAACTAGCTGTTTCTTTTCAGGGATGTGAAGGCAGTTCTTGAATCTCAGATGGCCTCCAGGCCTGAACTGCTTCGTGGATCACCTTAGAGGCAACCTTAAGACAGCAACAAGCCCTGCAGATCTGGGCCTGGAGGGACATGGTCAAAAGAGGAGGTTCTTCTCATGGAGGGAGGCAGGAGGATCAGTTTCTTCCTTAGGGCAAGAGGAGTTGTGCCTGTGCCCTGACATATCTTCCGACTCCTTTTACCTCACAGGCGGAATCTGGTGGACCATTAGTCTGCAATGGGAAGGCTCAGGGTGTTGTTTCTTATGGACCCAAATATTGCATCTTTCCTGAAGTATTTACCAGAGTGTCCTATTTTGAGCCATGGATACATGGAGAGCTGAGTGAGTTTGCACTCCAAGACCTACCTGACTCTCCTTTCTCTGACTAAAATGCTCAATGCCCCATTTCCACAGCACATCAAATATCTGCTGATGCTCAGAAGCTTCCAGGGACAGCTGAAACAGAGTCAGAGCATATGCTTACGGCATATGCACAGGGTTCTGTGCCAAGGAATATCTCCATGGCAATGTAAAAATGCGTGCAAAAATTCAAATTATTCCCTTCCTCCCACTGCTATCTCCTGCTCTGCTTTCTGGCCACCAATAAAACCATGCCCCACTTTGCTTGTGTGTGCAGCCTTCTTGGGAACAGGATGGAATGCCTGAGGGTGAGAATGAAGAGCCTAAGTTCAATGTCCTACTGACACAGGTAGTGTCAGCTCACACAGGAGTGAGCTCATACCAGAAGCATGTTGTGATATTTAATGTACAGGATGCCAAACAAAAAAAAGTTATTTTGTATTATTTCCTTTAGTTGCTGTTGATGACAAAAAGTATGATTAGTAGATCCAAGAGAGAAATGTCCACTGAAAGTTACTGATCAGAAAGGAGAGAGGAATGAATTTTGCCAGCTCCAGACAAGTAGTCTAAACTGCCTTTCGTATCACGAGAAAGATAAAGACATTTCTGCCATCCTGATAGCAATTCAGTGGGATGAAGAAGTGAATCTGGAAAAAAAAAATGTGTGTTGAGATAAAGACAACCTAATAAGACAGAAAATGAAATTA